ACGGAGCAAAGAGTGCATAAAATACAAATCGAGTTTTTGAGAGAACGGAGTATCGGATTTGAATGTTCTAAAAAAACATTCAATTTGTAATGATTGGGAGAAGAGATGATTAGTTTTTGGCAAAGACAGGTCCGTCATTTCGAAGATACAGAGCTAAATGTGCAAAAATGGCAGTTTTTGAGTGAACTAAGAGTCGGATTTGAATGATTCAAAAACTTTCTACTGTATTGACAAAACAATTGCTTTTGAGGATAAATGGAAAATTATTACATCTTTTTCTATTTTGCAAAAAATTTTTGTAATGTTGGATTCAAATTGAAAAAATTATCAGACTAAGCACAGTCTAAGCGCCACTCTGGTACAAATTTTTGCCCAAGTGCGTTTAGGCTGTTTATGTACTGGAGCACTTTGAACTAAACGATTTGAATGATTCAAAAAACATTCGATTCTAACTGATGGAGAGATATGGTGATTAGTTTTTAGAAAAGGCAGGTCCAGCCATTTTAGTTATACGGAGCAAAAAATGCAAAAAATTGCAGTTTTTGAGCGAACGAAGTGTTCGATTTGAAAAATTTAATCAGTTCTTCATTTTATCAAGAAATTATTAAAATCGGACGTCTATTCTCTCAAAAACTGAATTACAATTTTCTGCACTCTTTGCTCCGTATCTCCAAAACGGCTGAACCTGCCTTTGCCAAAAACTAATCACCACTTCTTCCTCATCATTACGAATTGAATGTTTTTTGGATGATTCAAATCGGATGCTCCGTTCTCTCAAAAACTGGATTTCTATTTTTTGCACTTTTTGCTTAGTATCTCCAACACGGCTGGACATGCCTTTGCCAAAAACTAATCAGCACTCCCTATCAATAGGAATCGAATGTTTTTTTAATCATTCTAATCGGTTAATCCGTATTCTCGAAATCGTGGACGCAAAATTGTATCCGCATTGTATATCCATTTTTGCTAAGGTATGCGAAATGTTCAGAAACCTTTGAAAAGTATAGATATACAAAAATTTTAAATTGATTTTTTTGCGATTACTATAACATCTTACGAGAAGTTAAAAATGGGACGGAAAATTCCAGAAATTTGTCTGAAAGATGCCGTGCACGACCGTTTAGGGAATAAGATCACCTAGAGAGGCATAAATGTTTTTTTACCAAAAATGATACGTCTTTCTAATTACTTGCACGAAAACTATCGACATCGACAAAAGTATCGAACTCGAGCATCGATATCAGAAGCATCGAAATACCAGAAGTACTTAGTATCGACAACAAAGTATCGATACTTATTTAGATAAGAGCACTCGATACTATCGTTCTTGCACTAATCATAGGTTTGATGCAACTTATCGAAGAGAAATTTCCTATTTCCTAAGTTTTTTAACAACATTTTTTACGGTTTTTGTGGTTTATCTTCATATTGATATATCGAATAATCAAAATAGTACCCAATTAAAAATGGTAATTTTTACGTTCGAAACGTGACCAATATCAACAAAATCCTCCTATCACCAACAAATTTTCATTAAAATATCTTTTATGTCCTCAGATCCTGCCTCGACTTCTTCCCAAAACAGCGATCAAGTTTTACAAGATTTGCGTGCCAAATTGGCTGATTTGGAGACCAGGTGCCAAAGTCTTGACGAGATGAAAACCGAAAATGAAACCTTGAAGAGCAATTTGGAGAAGTTGCAAAATGAAAAAGACGAAGCCAGCAAGGAATTTACTACCACTATCCAGAACCTGGAGCGGGAAGTCACGAAATTGAAGGATGACAAGGTGTACTTGAATAAAACTCTTACAGACATGGAGGAAAAAAATGCTGTCAAGCAGGAGGAACTAGAAAGGTCGGTAAAATAGTCATAGACGAATAAGCCTAGACAATATTAGAATACCATGTGTTTATATAGACGTTTCTCTCTCCCGATTTTTACGTTCAGAAGGAATACATAAAGGGTCCTCCTCACTCAAATTAATGGCGCAAAATTTGACATGAAAATTAATGAATTTTAGTACACGGGTATTTGAAACCAAATTTTGTTATTACAATCGTATTACGTTTTGTAATAATACAATAATAACAAAAATATACTAGATAATATTATATTATAATAAATATACAATCAAATCGAAATATAAATCAACAAAGATACTGCTAGTGCAGTAAACGGAGCGTTTAGGGTCTGTTTTTTTTTACTGTGCTCCGAATTGCATGAAATTTTGGAATTAGGTTCATCTCACCCTCAAGTTCAAAAGTGAAAACAATTCAGGTTCCGACACCCCTTCTCAATTGTGTAATTACATTTTTTCAAAATAACGTCGGAAATCGATAGAAGAACTAATCATAATAAGAAAAACTTTTATAGTTTTTCAAAAAAACTAATACTTTTCAAGTTACTGGCCATTAAAAATTCATATATTTTTGGCGTTTTTCTTCGTTTTTTTTGCAAATATCTCCTAAAATATACATTTTAACGAAAATTATGCAATGAACAAAATATTGTCAATAAAAATCTTAAGAAATCGGTGTTTTATAAAGTTTTCTGGGAATAATATTAAGCAAGATTTGAAAGAGCAAACCTGTTTTTTATTTCAAGATTTAATTGTTGTATTTAAAGCCATCTAGTGGCCTGGTTTTACATTTAATGCATTTTGGTGAAATTGGGTTTTATAGTGCTCAACATAAGTTTTAAAATGAGTGCTGTTACAAGTTTTCTACGTGTAAAATGAGTGAGCTATCATGCAAATAAGAAGCATATAAGATGTTGTTTCATTTAAATTACAAGGTTTAATGAGCGCCATTTCCACCATATTTAAAGTAATTCACATTCCATCTAGAATTCACTTCATTATAGACATCTTGATGGATTCTAGCAGATTCACTACTTTAGTACGAACTATTTTCAGAAAACTCAAGATTTTATAAAAACTTTTTATTCGATTTTTTTAAAAATCGAACTTATTTTCATTATATCTCAAAAAGAATATAATATACGTATAAAAGCATATAGATAAAAATCAAAGGGATCTTTCTGGCTTATTATTGTTTTTTTATTATTTCTCTTTCACACAAAAATTGACAGAGTTATGATTATTTAAAGAGTGCGCGGCCGCGCAATCAGAGTCTCTCTCGAGCCCTTTAACCGTTTGCCGTTTCAAAATAAGAGAAGTTACGAATAAAATTATGATGAAAAAAGTTGTAGCCCTTTTATTAACCTTTCAAATGGTATATTACAAATTGAGACGGAGTCGTAATTAAAAGAGTTATGACCTATGACCCGAAAACTAATCGCATTTTTGTCGAATTGTGCCCATATTTCGAGCAATGTATAAGTATATGATAATTATTTTCGAAAATTGAAATAACATTCCTATCATTTTGAATTTCTTAATTTTCTTTCAATTTCAAAATAATTTTTTAAACAATTTTTCATCCAAGGGTTGTTTTTAAGGATCTAAAAAGGGTTAAAAATTTGATAATCAAGATAGAAAACATAAAATATTAATTACTTTATATGTAATTCTTATTATATCATACCAAAATTTATTTTTAAATATTTTTTGTCAATTTAGAGGTTGTTTGAAGAGTTTTAGGGTTTTCACGGGGTTGAAAATGATTTTATTGCAAGGTAAATGTATTAAAAATATTTTTTAATTATATCCTTTAATATTAAAAACGTTTTCTAGCGATAAAACGGCTCAATGTCCACTTGTTTATTAAGGGGTCGCAACTCCCCAAGGGGATAGTGGCGGAGCCCGAATTGTTTTCACTTTTGAACTTGAGGGTAAGATGAACTTAATTCCAAAAATTCATGCAAATCGGAGCACAGTAGAAAAATTCAGACTAAATATGTCTTTCTTATAGAAACTTATACTTGATTTCTTACATAATTTCCTAGAACTGGCCTCTTTTCTTAAAGTATATTATGATTAGACTAATGTGTCATTGCACTGCGTAGTAATTATGTCCTCCATATGAGTTTAAAGCTGTTCTATTCATATTGTCAAAGGGCTATGCATTTGAGAGCAATTCCTAATGAAATCATTATTAACAAATGTACAAACACAAACGAAAAAAGAATCACCATTTTGTCAACTGACACAAAAATAACTTTCAGGATTTTGTGAGTAAACGAAGGACTCTTCTAAGTCGCAATTCGATAGACGTTCTCAGTTTTTTAAATCCTATTTTATTAGACAAAAAAAAAACAATTAGAATGTTTAAAATTAATTAATTAAAATTGCTCGGAACAGACAATACCCAAGTTTAGCTTAATTGTTTTTAAAACTAAAATTGATATTAACAAGTATGTATCAACATGTATCTAATATTTTTTTATTTTTTTTTTAAATTTAATAAACGTTTTTTTATTTATTCGAAAACTTTCCTTTCACTATCATAAATTATTATATTTTCATTCTTATATGTGAAAATGATGCATGAATAACGAATAATTATTTTCAAAGTTATTTAATCAAGATAAACTGTGAAATCAGTCAAATTCTGCTCTAAATCACACTAAATTTGCGGATAAATTACAGAATATTCGAGCAAAAATTTATTTTATATATAAAATTCGAAAACCGGCTAAAACCGGTTTTTTAGTAAAATTAAAATTCGAAAACCGGTTTTCTGAAATGTTGGTTTTTGTATAAACCCTAGTAACCAACATAAAACATTTGAAAATACTTTTTCACTAGCGTCAAATTTGCGACTACAAATGGACCCCTAAGTAGCCCCTTCTGAACGAGGATTTTGTTCTGAGATAATAGGCCCTGCGAATAAGTAATTTTATAAATGTTTTATCTCTAATCTTTCTTCCTTCACCAGGTTGCGAGAAGATATCCAATCTTTGCAAGCGTCCGTACAAAATCAGATAGACCTACAGAATAGTTTAAGTGACTTGGAATCTGCAAAAAGTGTCCAAAAAGATGAGCAGTATGAAAAACTATCAGCCGAGAATTGCCAACTCCAATCAAAACTTCAAGAAGTCTCATCGATAACAAATATGTTTGAAAACTTAAAACAAGAGAACATAGAACTTACAGAAAAACTGAAATCTTTAGAAGAAAAATACGAAAACACTGAACGCTCTGTAGAGTCCAAAATATCAAATTTAAACCAAGAAATAGATTTACACATCGAGAGGATAAAGTACTTAGAAGAAAAATGTAAAGATTACGATTCTATCAAAAAAATTAACGTAGAATTAAACAAGGAAACTCAGGAGTTGACGAGGAAGATCAGCGAGTTGGATGTATCTCAAAATGCTTCTGGAGGCGAAAAGAAGCAAAATCAAAATACTGAAGTCGAGGTTAAGTTGGCACAAATTATGAAAGAAGTCGATGAGGTTTTCAAATAAAAACCTGGTTTTAGAACAGAGGTGTAGTAATATGAGTTTATTGGAACAAACAAACGAGAAATTGAGGCTTGCGAATGAGAAGCTGACGAGGCAACTAGATGACACTCTAGTGAGTATTAATGTCGTTTCATCGTGATTAGTTGTTTGAAAAAAAAACGGAAATTTGCAGAGTGGCATGGTAAAGGACCGAAAATATAATAGTTCGTGTAAAATTTAACAAAAAAGTTAAAATAAAAAATGCATTTTTATCTTAATTGCCATGTGTTGTTGTCAGTTTTTTATATTAGCTTTATTGACAAATATTTTTATATACAATATTTGGAGTTCGAATTTAACACTTTGAAAAGTCTTTTAGAGATTTGACTTTTTTTAAGCCTAAATGAGTGTACATTTCAAAAATGAACAATTCTACCTATAAATATTTATTTTCGGAAAAAACAACCATCAACGTTTCTACCTAAATAAAACACTTATAAATAATTAATTTATTTCAATGTATATCTGAATATTGAACGAAAACGTACTTAGTTTAAACATTATTACTCAAAGCTAAAAAAAAACAGTAAAAATGTAACAAAATAGTTTAAATTAAAATAATATAAGATTAATAACATATAATAATAAATACAAGGTTATTAATTAAAATGTTTTGTTTTGGAATAAGATAAAATAAAATGCAAAAAGCAAAGAAACTAAATAAACTCAATAGCTTTTTTGTTAAATTTTACACAAATGAATATAGCTAGATGAGATAAAATGGTTTTATTTTTAAATAAAAGTAGCTTAAGTAACACCCCATTACACAAACTATCTGCGAATAAAAGTCCCATTAAAATCGGTTCAGCCGTTCCAGAGATTAGTCCAAACAGACAAAATATTTAAAAATTGTTATTTTGTTATATATGCATGTAGTTAATACTAATATTTCAATATTACAAACAGACACTACAATTTCATAAGTATAAATAAAAATTAGTGGTGTATGGCATCGTGCCTCAAGGCAAATTCCAGGAATTTTCAGTACCGTAATAAAATGTTCGAGGAATATTAAATGTTTTCAAATTGATTGTTATAAATACTGTAACTTATATATGTTTACAAAAAAGTAAATAAACAAAACTTAATCAATGGAATTTAAAATGAAGGGCATTGTCTAATATTTATAAGAATTATATAAACTGAGTTGCAAAGTTAAAATTATTTATTTTAAGTATATTAGTGAAAAAATTAAATCTGAATTGTTTCGATATTCCAAAAATTGAAAATAAAAAAAAAAATTTTTTTCCCCCAAAAACAATTGTTTCGTCAACACAAGCAGAAAGTTTTTTGAATCATTCAAATCGGATGCTTAGTTCCCTCAAAAACTTCCATTTTTTGCACATTTAGCTCGGTATCTCCGAAACGGCTGGACCTACCTTTACCAAAAACTAATCACCACTTCTTCCAATCATTACGAATTGAATGTTTTTTGGATCATTCAAATCGGTACTCCGTTCTCTCAAAAACTCGATTTCTATTTTCTGCACTCTGCTTCGTATCTCCGAAACGGCTGGACCTGCCTTTGCCAAAAACTAATCAGCACAACTTCGTATCAATAGGAATCGAATGTTTTTTGAATCATTCAAATCGGTTGATCCGTAAGCCTGAGATCGTCGACGAAAAATTGTCTCCACACTCACATTCATTTTTTCTGAAGTATGTCAAAATGTTCAGAAACCTCTGAAACGTGAAGATATGCAAAAATTTTCATTCTCGATTTTTGACCCATTACTATAACTTACCCTACAGGAAGTTAAAAATAAGATATCTTTGTCTTAAAACAAAAGTAGCATATGTTACTCTCGATTACATCAGATACTTGCTAATAAAAGTCTCATCAAAATCGGTCCAGCCGTTTCAGAGATCAGTCCAAACAAACAAATTGACGGACAAAAATTTAAAAAAATGTTAGCTGGTTAAAAACACTGCTATTTAAATATTACTAGCTTTTGTAAGCCAAAATCCACCTATTTCTAACATCTTTTTATCTTTTAGGTCACGAGAAGACATTCCGAAGGCATCACACAACTAACAGAGTTCGAGTACCTTAAAAATATTCTGTACCAATATTTATCCGGAGGTGTTGGAGGAGTTGGAGCCAACACGAATAGTACCTTGATCAGGGTGATAGCTGCTGTTATGAAATTTGATGCTACACAAACGCAGACTGTTTTGGATAAGGAAGCCCAGAGGAACACTTTGGTAAAACCTTATTATATTCTCCTGATATCAAGCAGTATAACTCATATTTATTATTATTATTTTTCTCCCTAGCTGGGTCAACTGAACCTCATATAGCAACCGAAGTCATTCATCTCTTCCTACTTCAACTACAACAACTATCATCTAGAATAAGCATCATAACCCAAAAAAAAATCTGGACTCAAGACTGCGAACAATAATGCAGAGGCCAAAACTCACACTACTTGATAAAGTGATAAATAAACATGATTCGAACAAAACAATCGAGATAAATAAATAACTAAAAAAGCCAACCAATGTGTTCAGCATTTTAATGGATATATAGTTGGGTAATGGAGAATAATGGGGTAAGAGATTTATAGAGTTATTTGGATTGAAAGTGGGTCATTGTATATATATATATATATATATATATATATATATATATATCTGTTCTGAACTCAGCAAATTTTCAATTTTTGATTCATGTCTCAGAGTTTCAGAAATTACTCTAAATAGCAATTTGAACTTTGAAACATCAGCAAATTTTGAAATGTTAAAAATTTTCTAAATTTAACTTTAGAGTTCGAATACAAAACTGATATATATAATATATATATATAATATATATATATATGTCCGTATATATATATATATATATATATATATATATATATATATAATAATAATAATAATAAGGTACAATATATTATCAAATGACCAAAATTCCATTATCATTAGCACTTGTACTATTACTTTCCAAATATTTCATTTATAACGTCAAAGGTTTCAATATGCATTCTAAGACAACTGAAAATTAATAACATATATTTATGTGATTAATTTAAATTTTTACTTTTTGAATGCATGTATATATATATATATATATATATATATATATATATATATATATATATATATATATATATAACAAATGTATTCTGAGTGGTTAACTATTAAATTAGAAATATGAACAAACACCACACTTTTTGCCCTAATTTATTAAATAATATTAATTCTACAAACGTATAGAGACTAGATTTGTCTCATCATCAGTGTATTCTAAATGTATTCAATTAAATACACTGATGATGAGATAAATCTAGACTCGAAACGTTTGTAAAATTAATATTATTTAATAAATTAATTCAAAAAGAGTGTTGTTTGTCATATTTCTAATTTAATATTATATATGTATATAATTAGATATATATATATATATATATATATATATATATATATTTCAGTTTTTATTATTCAAATGCCAAGAATTTCTTGAAAATTATAAACCGAAGCAACTTTGTCATGTTTGTGTTCGATTCGAAATGAAGTTTTGTATGTAGATGAATTTTACACGGTTTTATATGTTATAGTATATAGGAAAGATTATTTGTTGCAATATTTGACGAGATGTACATATACATATAAAATATAGGATTAAATATTTAAAAAGATATATAAATTAAAGTTCTTTAAGTAGACATCCATACAGATAATAGAAACAAAACTAAATTATGTTATTGTAAAAGTTTTTAGTAACCCAATTATCTCTAATTTAGCCAAAAAACCTACAAATTATTTGGCAAGCATAAAATCTACATTCTATGAAAAAAAATACTTAATAGAAAAAGAGTAGTTTAATAGTATCAATAGTATTTAATTTCAATGAATTATGTTTATATGTTTTTTTAAATAATTTGCTTTTTATCTACTGAAAAAGAGTAATTTCAAGACTCGAAGCAAAAATGATATTTATTTATGAATTTATAGCATTTATAAAAGGTAAACAAATTTATCTATGACGACAGTCACAAGAATTTAAAGAAATAAAATAATAATTTACTTGATTTGAAAACACGAGAAATAAATTTTTGTTTGTAAAAGATTAAATAAAATTTTAAAGTTTATTTATTAAATCTAGAAAATAGCACAAGTTTGTATTTTTAAAATTGTGTTTTAATATATAGTATGTTTAAAAAAACAAACATGATTTAGTTCCTTCTCTCTTTTCTGAATGGATGTCTTAAAAAGCTTTTGCTTTTATCTTTATAATATATATATATATATATAATATATATATATATATATGTATATATGTATATATGTATATCTATGATTCCTGGACAAACGATGTTTGATCTTCAAAATGTTTTAAACATTCTTTTCAAATAAACACTTTCTAGTGAATCTATTCAATTTTTTCTTGAGGAATGTTTATAACTTTTTTTAAATTATTTATAATAATTATATATGTACAAATGCATATACATCATACAATTTATTTCCTATACCTATACTTTATATATAAATCCATGGTATAAATCCAGAAAGTACAAAAATCATATATTTATAAAAATAAATATAAAATATTTTTACAAATCAAAACAAAAATGATATACCTTTTTATCTAATTTAAGGTATTATTTTTTTTGGTTTGCATTAATAAATATAAAGTTATTTTTATAAAAAAAAATGATTCGAGTACTTATTTAGTTTGATATCATCGTGGATTTTTTTTATAAAGTTATAGAAAGAAATAAATCGTTTAATCTGGCAATTCTGTATATATATATATGAAATTTAGAAAACATAAATAATTTAAAAAAATATTCTAAAGGAGAAATTTTAAAAATTGTTTACTACCCAAACACTTTTTTATATGTATATGTACATGTTGTTATGTATATATATATCATAGTTAGATTTACATAACATTTATATTAAATTTTCTAGATATTTATAACAGCTTATAGTATTAACTATATTACAAAATATAATTATCTGTCCCTCCCTTAAATGTATATAAAAAATTATATTATAATTTCTTTGCCAAGCGCTTTGAAAAAGCCTTCTCGAGCCTAAATGCAAATGTATTAGATTTTATATCGTTGTTAATTTTTCTGTTTTAGATAATTAATAAAATTATATAGATGAATTTTGTGGGAATTTTTTACACCGATGGCATTACTAACCTTCATTGACAGTTAGTCGTGTAGACATTAAACTTAAATTACAGTTAGTACTAGTACACTAGTACACAAAATTTAGTCTAAACAATATTAGAATATAATATATTAAACAATGTCTGATGAGGAATTATCTATATATTTTAAGCTATCAGGTTGGAATAAAAATACTAAATCGTTTGCACAAAGAAGGATAAAGACGTATGAATGTCTATACAGGCTGGTGCAATCTTTTTATTTTGAATCGATGGCATTACTAACCTTTATTGAGAGTTAGTCGTGTACACATAAAACTTTATCTTCAATGACAGTCATGTACACTTTTATTTTTGAACCTCCGTCTAGACAATATTAGAATATAAAATATATTCAGAAATTATTAATTTATTTTAAGTCATCAGGTTCGAATAAAAATATGTACTAAATCGTTTGCACGAAGAAGGACAAAGACATATGATTGCCTATATGGGCCGGTGCAATCTTTTATTTTGAAGTGTATAAAGACATTTTGTAAATTTTGTAAATAAGTAATAATATAATATTGTATATGTTGCATTTATAAACAAACAAATGTTACAGTTATATATAAACAAATTACATTTATATTGTTTAAAAGCAAAAGTAAAAAATTTGCACTTACTTTATGTCATGTGTCAAAAGAGCCTTTGCAAATCTGTCAGTAGGACCTCGCGCACTTTTTACCAATTAAATTATTTATAACAATTTAGTTCCTTTTGTATAATTTAAGTCTTAATTAAACATAAATACACACTGTAATTAATATCATCAAATTATATTTACTATTAACACTGCATCATTTGTACAATTGTACAATTGTGCAATTTTATTCTACCAGGCAACGGTGTCTTGTTTCAAATTAAATAAAAGCCTTAAAATAACGTGCCCGATTTTACATGCATGTAGTTAAACAAAAAGGTTTTACTTACTTCTATATTAATTAATTTAACGACTTAAAGTTTTATGTTAACTGGTGGAGAACATAACCTAGAAAATGGTTTTGCTCGTTCGTTCGTCCAGATGAATATATTTAAATACAAGACTGTTTAATATATGCATATAATGTTGTAATTTATGGTATTTGTTAATCTTTTATTTATATTAATGAACACTTTGCGTTTTATAGATGATTTTGCGTTAATTTCGAAAGCACACTTCAAAATTGCTCAACGACTTCGTAATGGACATACGCGGGTACCAATGTTAAGAAAACAAAAACTTGAACTTTTGATAAATATGTTTAAATTTAAATTTTTAAATGTTTAGATTTTTTTAAATTTGCTTTTTTATCTGCTTGTTTTATCTAGAAAATAATAATGGCTATTAGTAATGAACAAATATTGTTTTTAGTGTAAATACCAAAAAGTTCAAATCTGTTAGTTTCCTCTATCCATATATGTTTATTTATCCATGTCTCTATCTGTATTCAAATTTGGTGAAATCTATTATTAGTGGATTTAAATTTAAATTTGCATTCTATTTTGTTCTATTAGACTCTTCTTCTACTATACTATTATTTTCATTCATGATTCATCAAAAATAATAATTATTATTAAATACAGATTCTAACAGAATTCCAGATGGTGCAGTTATCACAACATTCTCCCTTGCTTGTTTATATGTAAAATACACCTGATTGCACGACAAATAAATAGACATTTTCATAATTTTCAATACCAAGAACAAGCATAAGAGAGCGTTGCCATGACAACGCTATTTTATGAGCTCTGTTACGGCAGAATTGCCCCATAAGATAATCTTAGAATCTGTATTTAGCCATATAGATAAATCGACTATTATTCAAATGGATACATATGCATTCATACATTTAGTTCAAAATATGTGTCAGATAATTGAAAAGAACAAAATATGTTCTATTTGTAGACTTAAAATACAAATATAGTCTTTCTCTATTTTCGGTTAATGAGATTTATAACTAAAAAGACTCGAAAAGATTCAACTCTGTTCATTTTAATCGATGAAGTATAACAAATGAATTGGCTTACAATTCATATTTATTATCTTGAATTATTATAGACCATATATAGACCGTAGAGACCCATGATCTATTTCAATTTTTATATCCCTTATTTCTATATAAAAGATTTTGTCTTAGTGTTTTATAAATTTTTAAATTCCTTAAATTTAATACTTTGTTCAAATATTCAACCACTACATAATAACTAAAAATTTAAATACGTATTAAGCTTTAGGTTTTATTTTGCGTTGTGACATATTTCAAAATATTCATCAAATGTTTTTACATAAGTACTTGCTTTCAAATCGATGAAACGATTGTAATCACACTTCTAGATATAAATCACATTAACAATGTATTCTCTATTTTATTTTTCAATAATAAAGTAGATCAAAAAATAATAACAAAACTAAGTTATCAGAAAGACTTTATGAATATTAAGATAGATTTTTTTTCTTATTATTTATGAAACAAGTTTTTGCATTTGACTTAACAATGTTTACATCTAGTTTTGTGTTATATTTCATAATAATAGAGAAAAGACATTGTTCATATCAATAAATATAAAAGTGGGGGCATGTTATACAAACAATTATCAATATCAAAAAATATTTATTTTAATTAGTACATGCAATAATTTGTTCTACTTAATCAGTTGCAAAAATCTTATCAATAAATTAATTAGAGATCCTATAATTGCTATTCTAAAAATGCACACATTATTCCGGCAGTAAAATCATCATCATAATTCATACAATTTTACTCTTAAGAGTATTTGCCGAACTGTTAAATATTTAACAAAAATATTTACTAATTGTTATTAACTAATTTTGTATATAGTTAAATTGATTGAACTTATGAATAATTTTTGCTAGCTAGATTAATTAAAATAAGTATTAATAGAGAAAAGACATTGTTGGTTTGAATAAATATAAAAGTGGGTGCAGAAAGGATTCTTAATTGAATTATTGTTTATGTATTTATATATATGTATATATATATATATATATATATATATATATATTAAATTATACAAGCAATTCCAATGTCGAAAAATATTTATTCTAATTAGTACATAAAATAATTTGTTCTACTTAATCAGTTGCAAAAATCTTATCAATAATTTAAATTAGTTTAACTAGAGATCCTATTCTTACTATTCTAAAAATGCACACATTATTCCTGCAGTAAAATCATCAGATAATTTTACTCTTATTATATATTTGCCAAATTGTTATTTTTTGCAAAAATATTTACTAATTGTTATTAACTAATTTTGTAAATAGTTATCGTGTAGTTAAATTAAAATCTTCATTTACTTATTAATAATATTAGATAGTTAGGTTAATTAAAATAATGCCAAGTGTAAGGCAGTGTAAATTAGAATCGTAAAATAATTAACTAATTTGTACATAAATCGAAATTTGATGGCTTTTTCAATACCATATTATATACATATTCTTAATATATTACAAATTGTGTTGAATATTCAAAATAATATATACTACAAAGTAAAATGCAATTAATTCCTTTGTAGATAATTTATAAAACGAGGCGATATATCATTTTTTTCAGGATAATAATCTTGTTGATCATCAACATGATTCCATGTTAAATTCTCTACATACTCAGATTTCAAATAAGATTTTATAGTCTTTTTCTTTTGTTCATTCTGTGGAGGTTCTTGTTGTAGAGACTGTTTATTTTTATTCAAATGAGACCGGAGTCTTTCACGAGGTGATAAAATACCACCTGATTTCGGTTTAAATGAATCATTATTACCACATACTATTTTAAACTTATCGGTCCTCTGAGTTGTGAATTCATTATCATTATTACCACATACTATTTTAAACTTATCGGTCCTCTGAGCCGGTTTGAAATCATTATCATTTCTGTGAGATGTTTTGTAATCATTATCATTGTAAGTCCAACGTCCATTGGGAGAGGATTTTGTGTTTGTTTGGTTTCTGGAACTGAAAAATTGTCTTGAGGCATCTCCGGAGCATCTTGCAATGTTTTGGCATAGATTTGAAACTAGTGCATCAGCCTCATTTAAACGGTCACTTTGTGCTGTCTTCATAGGTGGTCTGAATGATCTGGAAGTGACTGCAGGATTTGTTGAGGGTTGTTTATTAACATAATCATTAGATGTGTCTGTTTTAGTAGGTACATCATTGTCTTTACTTAAGGTTTTAACTTGTTCAGTCCTGGAGGTTTGATCAAAAGGGTTATTTAGATTTTCAGCAGAATTTTAGCTGCACTTTGAACAGTTGTAACATGCTCAACTGTTGTATGCTGTTTATCAACAGAATTTTGTTCTGGCTCAACTATACTTGTTTGTTCTACAGCTCTATTAATATTTTCAATAGAAGCTCTAATAGCTTCTTCTCTACTTGGACGTCTACTACTAATTTCTTTAACTACACTAGAACTACGACTTAAAACTTTTTTGTTCTCATCATCTTTCTTTGGCTCACTTTTAACCTCCTCAGTTCCATTAACTTCAGTCTGTTTATTTTCAACAGAGGTTTCCTCGTTATCCACAAATTCCTTTAACAATGCATTATAAAATTGCTCCACTTTTGGATTCATGGACGGACAATATGTATATGAATAATCTAAACAAAACATGTACCATAATCTAATTGATTTATCCTCTGATTCGTCTAAGTAAATTCTTTGACGTAACAGGTTTAAAAGTTCTGCATATTCTTTGGGGTGGGATTTTGCTATTCTTTCACCATTTAATGTAATCTGAAAGAAAGATGAAATTTCTTATAACTTGCTATGATAAAAATAAATAAATTTATATAGTAATTAACTTCCCGTAGGGCAAGTTATAGTAATCGCAAAAAAATCGAAAATGAAAATTTTTGCATTTCTCGACGTTTCAAAGGTTTCTGAATATTTTGGCATACCTTAGAAAAAATGGATGTATGTGTGTGTGTATGTGTGTGTGTGTGTGTGTGTGTGCGTGTGTGTATGTATGTGCGGATACAAATTTTCGTCGACGAATTCGGGAACACCGATCAACTGATTTGAATTTTTCAAAAAACATTCGATTTGCACTGATAAGGAGACGTGCTGATTAGTTTTTGGCAAAGGCAGATCCAGCCGTTCCGGAGATACGGGCAAAAAGTGCCGAAAACGGTAACTCCGTTTTTAAGAGAACGGAGCGTCCGATTTTAATAATTCAAAAAACATTTTACTTGTATTGACAAGATAAAGAACTGATCAAATTTTCATAAAGGCAGGTCTAGCGGTTTCGGAGATCTAATGAAAAAAGTATAAAAAAATACCATTTGGCGGTCAAAAATGATCATTAGACAAATGCACATCAAATTATCAGATATTTTATAGAGATTTGAACAATAAGTATAATTTTGGTTCACATTCCTATGGGTTCCGTACCAATGTTTACGCGTTAGACGTCGACGCGGCGCTTACGCAGTTTGATATTTCGTCTTTATGCAGTTAAAGCAGTACGATTGCTTTGAAAAAAAGTTTAGATCTTTCAAAATAAAGAAAACATTTTATTTAAAAAAAAATAAAAAAAAAAAAAATTAAAAAAAAATTTTTTTTTTCAAAAAAAAAGTAATTTTTTGTCTAATTGTTTGTCAAAAATTTTATTTTTTCGAAGTATTTTTTTCAAAAATGTTAATCGTTTTTAAAAAAAATAATAATTTTTGGTACGGGAAGTTCCAGCAATTTGCCTTAAGGCACGATGCCTTAATTGTCTTAAGACAGAATTCCACTTACAGCTAGTTTAAATTTAATCTGCATGACTTACCTGTGTTGTGAATTCTTTAGCTGATCTTTTTGTGTTCAAATTTAGAAATGTTTTCAAATATTCCAAAAGAGGCTTAACGAGCCAGTCATATGGTAAACCTTCTGGTGATCGAGCCCTGCGAAAAAGACACATATAAATATATACATATATATACATATATATATATATACATATATATAATAAATAAATATTTTTTATTTACTTGCTGTAGTACTGGCTAAACAATGTTGTTGCATTAAACAATTCATCCAAATTCGATTCTTGCATTTCATCCAATCCTGAAATAAAATTAAACAATGTTATAATGCTAACTTGATAATAATTTTGAACAGATTATTTATAAGGCAATATATTACTAATATAATCTACAAAGACAGAAGATTAATTTATCGAATGTGCAATTCAGTGTTTGAACAATAAGAACATTTTAATTTTTATTTTAAAGAACCGTGGTTTTTCTTTTAACTCCAAAAGTATAATAAACATAATAATAAATTGATTAATTTAAAATATGTTATTTGATAGCCAAATAAATAATTTAATATTATTAAATGAATATATACAAATATTATTTATTAAATTGTTTTTGTTAAAGAATAACTAATTTTTTTGGAAGAACTGTGGTTTCTGTTTCAATTCTTTGAATTCAAATTATCTTTAATAAATAATAAACGATTTTATATAAGTAATTTAAAAAATCAATCAATTCAACAGCATCTTCAATTTAAGGTAGTTATCTCAACTAAATATTTATAATTTCTCTGAATATGTTAATAAAGAATCACGGTTTTTGTTTAATAATTAAAGTGATGAATAATAAATATGTTTTATTCAGTACAATTAAAAAATGATCACTGATCCAACATATGGTCAATTGAAAGTAGTCATTATTAATTATATATACATTCTACTAATATTGATAACTTTTTTGCATTAAATTTTAATATAAAAAACTATGTCCAGATTTTGTGTCTTTATCAACTAATTTATATAAAAAGTAATTCAGGTTTTGTGCCTCTATAAATTATTTTATACAAACACTGTATATTTATCCGTGGATTAAAACTTACTCAGATAATTTTCCTTCATTATAAATTAACCATGAGCAGCAATAATTTTTGACTAAATATTTCCAAAGATTGAAACAATCTTAACTAATAAATAAATCCTATGATTAATAATATATATACTCTACTAATATTGATAATTTTTAGCATTAAATTTTAATATAAAAAACTATGTTTAGATCTTGTGTCTTTATAGACTAATTTATATAAATAAAGTAATTCAGGTCTATTTAGTTATTTTATGCAAATGTGTTATATTTATCTGTTGATTAAAACTTACTCAGATAATTTTCCTTCATTAAATTAACCATGAGCAGTAATAATTTTTGACTAAATATTTCCAAAGTTTGAAACAATCTTGATGCACCAAATTCTGCTAATTGTTCTGCAAAAATGGAATCATTTAACGCTTGCTCGTTCAGTTTGCTGAAGATATCTCTGAAAAATAAGGAAAAAAAAATTATATACATATACATATAGTGTAAAATATCACATACAGCCTTTATATATTAAAACAAATATAATTTGCTCGACTTGTAGTTTATAAAAATCTTGTAACGTCTCTATTTCATAAATGAGAATATTTATAATAAATAAAATATTAACAGGCACGTCAAAAATATTTATAAATAAAATAAAAAATGTAGAACACTTTAAATAAAAGCAACTAAACATATTTTCCCCTACAATATATTTTATAACTCTTTCTATATAAAAGTGTTATTAATTTAGTGTTAACTATTTTAACTTATTTAGTATTTACTGCTACTTAAACTTCATCATCGGATATACATTTAATTTTTTTATTATTATATAGTAATTTTCATAAGTATCCTGAAATGTATTTAATTCAATTTAATTTAATTCAAATTCAATAGTAGTTTAGTAAATAATAATTTAAATTTAAACAAATCGTTCTTTTCAGGCAAGTGTTCCAAAAATCTTTGAATATTTTATTACGAACACCTAAAAAAGAGTTCAATCAAACAATTATTTATAAATATTTGCGACATGTATTTGTTACTCTTTAAATATTCTCTAATACTCTTCGAGATGTTACATGATTTAATAGTTCTCTACATACATTTTTATCTTCATATATAGTTGCTAGAAGAGTTTATTGCAATACCATTGATAAGTTAGAATATTCAGTCTGTTTAATCAAAATCAAGCAATTATTAATAAAACTAATATTGTGGTAATAGAAGCTTCGATAAGACTCTATTTTTATAATTCTGATAAGTATTCTCTATAAATACAAAAAATTATATTCATATCCAGTTATTAAAAGAGTTTATTATAAAACTATTGATCCATTTAAAAATTTAGGTTCAGATAATAAAATCAAATGAATTATTAATATTATTAAATGATAGTGTAGTAATAAAGCCTTCGATAAGTTTGTATATTCACAAACCTGTATGCTGTCGATAAGTATTTACAATCTGTATATATAAAAATAAATTTATATTCAGTTATATTCTTTTTATTAAAAATCTATTGATATTTTTTAAAAAATCAGTTTCTTTAATTAAAAACAAGAGATTATTAAATAAAACTAATATTGTGGTGATAGAAGCTTCGATAAGACTCTATTTATATATTAATTATTAAATAAAACTCTATTTATATATTTCTTGATAAGTATTGTCAATAATACTAAAAATTATATTTATATTCAGTTATTAAAGGAATTCAGTATAAAACATTGATATGTTTAAAAATTCAGTCTCAGATAGTAAAAACAAGTGAATTATTAAAATAATGATAGTGGTAAGGAATAATAAAGCCTCGATAAGTATGTATACTCACAGTATTTGCAATCTGTATATATAGATATAAATTTATGTTACATTCAGTACTAAAATTTGTGGTAAAAATATTGACTATATAAAAGATTCTTCTATTTTATTAAATTTGAATAAATTTTAAATACTTTATATTTTCTTATATTATGATAATCCAAGCCTATGATAAGTATGTATTTCTTTACTTATTTGTTTCTCGACAATCTGTATTTATATATACCAATTTATATTATATTAACTTATTAAATAAGTTTATTATAAATTTTTGATAGGTTTGTAAAATCGTGTCTCTAATTAAAAATCAATCAAATTATTAAACAATTGTGTTCACAATTTTGTAAAAAAAATTAAATGTAAGTATTTAATTTTAAGTGAAAGATCTCCCTTACCTCAATGTTTAGCACTAGTACATTCCTTTTGAAATACACTTTGTATATATTTAAATTTCTGATTCAATTTAATTCCATCATCTCCATTAACATCAATTGAACGAATAGCATCGATTATTTTATTACAACAACTATCCATTTTGGATAAAAGCTCCGAAACACAAATTAGAGAAATATCTAAAAGCACTTGTGTCCTTTTCGATCACACAAACATGAATGATTGTAAAGTACTTCCATAAGGAAATTTAGTCAAATAGCCAGGTAGAGAAAAGGGTTTTTAAAAGGATTCAGGTAGAACAGGTGTGTTGTAATAAATAAATAAAATGTTGCCAAATTTTAAAGGACATACGGTTTTGAGGTTATGTTGCGGTAAATGTTGGAAAATAACACAGTGAGTTTATAGTTTTTTTTTACTATTTTTTACATGCGTAGATAATGTTTAGGTAATTTTTTATATTTATCGTGAATTAAATGTTGTTTTACACATGTTTACTCCGTGACTGAGTTTTGTAATGTATGCGAGTTGAAAACTGGTTTTTCAAGCGTCGTGTGCGAGTGACGTAGATTTTAAGATGGAGGCCGAAGGAATATTTTACATTTTATTTTATTTGTTAATTTAATTTTGTTAAGAATTGCTAAAAGTATTGCCGAAAAAGTTTTTAAAGTTAAATAAATAATATATATGAATATACATGATTGAACGTTAACACAAACGAAGTTTGATAATTATCGTTTAAAAATGTAAAGTGACAGCTTGTTGTTTGTGCCGCCATTGGAGATGATTTTTTGGAACTTAATTTAAACACTGCAAGTAC